TCCTATGCAGCCATGGCCCCGGCGTAGATCTCAGCCTCACAACTAGAGCCGAGAACAGAAGACGAGCGGGTAGCCTGCCACGAAACAGAGCCGGAACCAAGGCTGAAGGTGTAACCCTGTGATGACCGCTGCGTAGCCTGGTCGTCCGCCCAAGAAGCGTCAGCGTGACCTATGAGGACTACTCAACGTCGCCCTCCAAGCACTAGCCCCATGCCCGACGTACTGCACACGTAGCGCAACACCCTCTTCGCTGCAGCCATGTGCTCTGGTCTGTGTCTCCCAGGAGAAACATAGCGTGCCAAGATGCTAAGAGGGTATGCAAGGTCAGGTCGTGTGCAGGTCATCAGGTACATGAGGCAGCCAACAAGCTCTTGGTACGGGCCACTCGACTCTACGGACTCATCCGAAGGCAGAGCTGAGAGCGAGTGGCGAGTAGACAGAGGAGTGGCCTGAGGCAAGGAGTACGTGAATCCGAAGCGCATAAGGACCTGCTGCACCATGTGTGACTGAGTCAGGGTAATGGTGCGCTGTGCTCTCTCCCGGGTGATCTGCACGCCAAGGTAGCTGCGCAGTTCACCCAGGTCTGTGCACGTGTGTCTCTTCTGCAGCTCGGACTTCACGTGGGCGAGTCCAGCAGTGTCAGCAGTGGCAAAGACCAAGTCGTCGACGTACACGAGGATGTAGAACGGCGGCAAAGAGGTGTCGGTCCGTAGAAACAGCGACGGGTCGGCCGTAGAAGGAGCAAACCCAAGAGCCGCAAGTGTAGTCCTCAGTGTGTCGTGCCACTCACGGGGCGCCTGGCGGAGACCGTAGACTGGCCACCGGAGGCTCCACTGGGTACCAGGAGGAAACGACCAGTGAAGCCAGGAGGGCGGCGCTGCCAGATCTCCTCGTGCAGGCTGCCCTGCAGGAAAGCAGTGCTGAAGTCAAGAGAGTGAAGCTCGTAGTCGCGCTGAGCGGCTATGTGCAGCAGCACCCAAAGAGTGGTCATCTTCGGGGTGGGAGAGAAGGTCTGGAATTAGTCAACACCCTGCTGCTGACTCAAGCCTCGAGCCACGTAACGTGCCTTGAAGACAGGCGGAGAGCCTGGCGGCCGCTTCACCCTGAAGATCCACATCCCACTGACGATGTTCGCCCCAGGTGGGGGAACCTCGTCGATGTAGGTGCCTGTGGACTTCAAGGAAGCCATCTCTGCGTCCCTGGCTGACTACCACTGTGAGGAGTAGGGACCCTCGATCGCCTCAGCGTACGATCGAGGAGTCGGGATGTCTGGTGCATCCGGGTCTCCCTCAGGGGCAATCAGCGTGGACACGAGATGGGGCAAAGCAGCCGCAAAGCACTGGAACTCCTCCTGCCTGTCCTCAAGGACGTCCGTGCTAAGAGCACACTCACCCCCGACGGACGGAGGACAGACAGACTCAGACTCAACAAGAAGACTGGTAGCGTAGTCTAGACGACAGCGAGCAGCGAAGTCGACAAGCTTAGCAACTAGAGCAGACGCAACAGTGGACTCAAAGGAAGGGTCAGTGACGACAGTAGCAAGAAGGCGCGTGTTCGAAGGACTAGCAGCACGAAGGGAGTCAGACTCCGGGTCAGAAAGAGAAGGAAGAGAGGACTCTGGAGGAGACGGCAATGGGACACGCAGAGGAGCAGTGGAAGGACGCAGTGCCATCTGGTGTGTGCCTGGGACCGCAGGAGGACGCGGACGTGAAGTACAACCACTAGTGCGAGCAGCACGAACAGGTGACGCGGGACGAGACACAGGCTCACGACGCTCAGCAAGACCTCCAGTAGGACCAGTGTAGGGAGAGGGAGCAGGTAGAGGGGAGGCAGGCGGTAACTCTGTCTGCGATTGGACAGGCAGTGAACACTCTAGGAGAGGAGCAGGACCAATAGAGGGCGGGAGACCAAGAACCTGCTCCAAGAGCGGAACGAAGTACGGCCTCGGCCGCTCAGCGCCTCCATAACCAGCTAGTACGACACCAGTACCCCCCAGCAGCAGCACCAACGCCAGCAGAACCTCCAGCTCCAACAGCGCCAACTCCAGTACCCTCAGAAGCACCAGCGCCAGCAGCACCGCTAGCGCCAACACCCCCAGCAGCTCCAGCTCCAGCAGCACCAACTCCAGTAGGACCGTCAGCACCAGCTGCCTCAGCAGCACCCCCAGACGCACCAGCACCAGTAGAAACACCAGCGCCAACACCCCCAGCAGCTCCTGCTCCAGCAGCACCAACTCCAGTAGGACCGTCAGCACCAGCTGCCTCAGCAGCACCCCAAGACGCACCAGCACCAGTAGAAACACCAGCGCCAACACCCCCAGCAGCTCCAGCAGCACCCCCAGACTCGGCAGCACGTCTCCAGCGGCGGGCGAACCACTCGCGCAGCTCCTGTGGAGAGAGCGGCTCCCGCCTCGACGAAGCACCGCCGGCGGCCACACGAGCAGACCCAGCACCCCCAGGCTCTGCACCCCCAGGCTCAGCACCCCCAGGCTCAGCACCCCCAGGCTCAGTACCTCCAGTCTCAGCACCCCCAGACTCAGCACCCCCAGACCCGGCACCCGCAGACCCGGCACCCGCAGGCTCAACACCTCTAGGAGCACCAGAGTCAACAGCTACCTCGACAAGCTCGACTACGTCTACCTGGGACACACCTGAAGGGGCAGGATCCTGAGGAGGGAGGGGATCTACCTGGGTAGCACCTGGCGCAAGGAACAGCGGCGGCGGGGGGAGGGGCGCAGTGCGGTAGGGGAAGAGACGGTAGTAAGGCACCGACTCGTGAAAGGTGACGTCCTGGGAGGACAGAACACGGCGCGTGGTGGGGTGGTAAAACTGCCAGCCAGGCGCGTCAGGGGGGAAGCCAAGGAAGACGCAAGGAACAGCACGGGGTGACAGCTTGTCCGCAGACAAGTCGCGGACAAACGCCCGAGATCCCCAGACCCGAAACGCAGACGCATCGCCAACCTTCCCTGTCCACCTCAAGGCGGGGGAGGTCTCTGGCAAGGAGACCCGGGGCTGAAGGTTGAGCTGATGCGCGGCGTACTGAACCGCAAACGGCCACAGAAAATGGGGGGCAGCCGCATGCATCATGGACGTACGTGAAACGTCCATGACCATGCCAATGCGGCGCTCAGCAATCCCATTTTGCTGTGGAGAGGCCGCAAGCGTGAAGGTCTGGCGGATGCCCTGTGCCCGACAGAAGGCTCCCAGACGGGCAGAGGAAAACTCCCCTCCTCTGTCCGAGTGCAGACGTAAAACAGAAAAGTCCGAGCCGAAACTCTCTCTGAGCTGAAGACAAGCTACGCGGATCCAGTCGATCAACACCTCAGTGACGTCACCCTTGATGCGCAAGGGGAAGAATGTGGTGTAACGCGAGTAGTCGTCAACGACCAGCAGAAAGTACCGCTCTCTCCCCTGCCCACTGACGCGGGTAGGGCCCCACACATCCATGTGTAGAGTCTGCAGCGGAGCCTCTGTCGGAGGAAACTCGGAGGAGTGAGGGGCGGTGCGCTGTCGCCCCTCGACGCAGGGGACGGAGGTAGGGCCAGGCCCCGGAGGAAGGGGAGGGAGAGACCGAGGAAGACCAGAGACAAGGACATGGGAGGCCATGCCTCGGAGACGAGGCAAGGAGGGGTGACCAAGGCGGTGGTGCCAAAGGAGAGTCTGGTGGGACAGCAGACGACACGAGCAGGGGGCAGACTCAGGACCAGACCTGGACGCCGCAGCAAACACCTGACTCGACGCAGCTACCTGGGCAGACTCAGCAGTAGGAGGAGACTCAGCAGTAAGGGTGTACAAGCTCGACCCTGGCCGACGGGTGAACGTGGCCAAGTGTCGGCCCGTCCGAGCACACGTGCAGTGGGTCACTCGCTGACTCGCAGGAGTGAACTGGTCAACCCCTCGATCCTGTAGGTCCGCTCCACTCACCAAGTTCGTAGAGAACAAGGGGAGGTAGAGACGAGACAGGGTGCCAGAGGGGGCTGCAGGGCACGGAAGGACAGTGGAGAAGCTAGCAAGGACAGGACCCCCAGAGGGGTCTGCCAGGGAGACTGCAACCGACTAACTAAGCTGCGTAAGAGTGGTGCGGTCTCGAAAGAAGGAGCGGTACGCACCCGAGTCTAGGGTGAAGGTGTGGAAGGCCTGAGCCGACGTAGTACCTGAGAGAGCAGACTCACCAGCACCTGGGACAGCAGACGCACTGGCACCTGGGGCAGCAGACGCACTGGCACCTGGGGCAGCAGACGCACTAGCACCTAGAGCAGCAGTCTCACCAGCGCCTAGTGCAGCAGCCGCAATGCCCGGGTCAGGCGGTACACACAGGTAACAGGTACCCACAACACTATCAGCAAAAGCATACATGGCAGCAAGAATAGCATCAGAGTCAAGATCAAAGATAGCAGCCCCGGCCTTAGCCAGATCTCCCCAGCGAGGGATCTCTGACGCCTCAGGGAACTGGCAACGCCACGCGTCCGTCAGGCGACCAAAGCAGCGCTGGGTGGAGTGCGGACCTCCGCAGTGCTCACCAGTGCGGTCGCCGGTACGGAGAACGTTGTCAGTAGAGCTACACTGTGAGATCCCCGATCGATCCTAGGGGGGGTTACAGGCGCGTTTGGCTGGGGGGTTATGGGCGCACTGACCCGCTACTGAAACAAGCCCTTTTATCCCAATGGTCTAGTGGTTGGGATTCTGACATGGTATCAGAGCAGTCTCGGGTTCGAATCCCGGTGTATGCACATGTTGGCCGTTGCCACTGTGCTCAGTCGTGGGCCTCCCAGTGTGGGGGGGTGTCAGTAGAGCTACACTGTGAGATCCCCGATCGATCCTAGGGGGGGTTACAGGCGCGTTTGCCTGGGGGGTTATGGGCGCACTGACCCGCTACTGAAACAAGCCCTTTTATCCCAATGGTCTAGTGGTTGGGATTCTGACAAACGTAAGAGCAGAGACCAAAACCCCCACCGCGCTGGCGTGCAGTGTACCACTCACGAAGCTGCTGAGGGGACAGGGTCACACCACTCCGCTGCTGCTGCTGGCGCTGACCACCACCAGCGCCACTCCTCGGCGCAGAGTCGCGACTCCCTCCACCACCGCCGCCTCCGCCGCCGCCGCCGCCTCCGCCGCCTCCTCCGCCTCCTCCACCTCCGCCTCCTCGACTACCTCCGCCGCCTCCGCTCCCTCCGCCACCTCCACCGCCTCCGCCGCCTCCACTGCTGCCGCCGCCGCCGCCACCCCCAGCACCACTCCCACCACCACCCCCACTCCCTCCACCGCCTCCACCACCACCTCCACCGCCCCCTCCACCCCCTCCAGTGCCCTTGCCCCCCTTGCCCTTGCCGGTGAGGCGTCTCCCGCAGACGCAGCGCCGACCGACTCGAAACCAACGAGGTCGGCCGCAGCAGCAGAGGCAACAGAGGGCAAGAGGGGGGAGGGAGAACACCCCTCAAAGACGGGGGTGCGAGGGTCACCACGAGAGGCTCCTACAGCGACTATGCTCTTCTCTATCGCTAGGAGGGCCTTCTCGAGGAGGTCAACGGTGAGAGTGGTGGGGCAAACAGAGAGGAACTGGTCCCTGACTACACGGAGAGAGTCAGGGAGCCGGGTGACTATGTAGTAGAGGGTGATGTACATGGGGGGGGGGGGGGTTCTTGGCGCAGAAATCAGTAGGAAGCGCAGCGCGGTAGCGAGTGTCACTAGTGCGGAGGTGTGTAATGAGGTCAGGGAAAGTGGGAAAGGCAGCAAGGTCAGGGAAGAGGTACGGTAGCATGAGGCGGCTCAGTGCAGCAGTGGCAGGGGAAGAGTAGCGTGCAACTACAGCGCCGTACAAGGTCTGAGCACTCTTGTACTTGCTAAAGTGTGCACGCTCAGTGGTCGGTAAGTGACGGCGCACACCAAGGCGAGCAGCAGTGTCACGTGTGGCCCACTGTGAGCGAACAGTGGCGTCAGCATCAGCAGCAGGGGCAGGGGAGGCACCAGAAGTGAGGTTAAATAGGGAGAGGCCGTCTGCTCTATCGCACTGCAGGAAGAGCTCCAGATCATCTACCCAGACCTCAAAGTCCACTGCCCGACCCTCAGCGTCAAAGGTGAGAACGCTTGGGGAAGCCATAACAGCAGTAGGCAGGGCAGTGCAGTGGCAGAGACTGTGCTCTTACCAGGTAGGTGGAGCGATCGGGCTGCTCGACGGCTCGGCTGTCGAGCGGCTCAGCTGCAGGGCGGCTTGGCTGCAGGGCGGCTCGGCTGCTGGGCGGCTCGGCTGCTGGGCGGCTCCGCTGCACGATGCTGGGCGGCTCGGCTGTCGGGCGTCTCGGTTGCTGGGCGGCTCGGGCGGTTGGGCGGCTCAGCTGGCCGGCTGTTCGGCTGCTCTGCGCTGCGGGCGCTGGGAGGCTGCGTCGTTGGTGGTGGCGAGGTCGCAGGTGGCGGCGGGCCGTAAGGGTGGGCGGGGCCGCGGTGGCGACGGGGCCGAAGCGGGGCCAAAGTGGGACCGTAGCGGGGCCGACGAGGCCGTAGCGGGGCCGGAGCGGGGCCGTAGCGGGGCCGACGGGGCCGTAGCGGGGCCGTAGCGGGGCCGTAGCAGGGCTGTAGCGGGGCCGTAGCGGGGCCGGAGCGGGGCCGTAGCGGGGCCGACGGGGCCGACGAGGCCGTAGCGGGGCCGTAGCGGGGCTTAAGCGGGGCCGACGGGGCGGTAGCGGGGCCGTAGCGGGGCCTAAGCGGGGCCGACGGGGCCTAAGCGGGGCCGTAGCGGGGCCGTAGCGGGGCCGTAGCGGGGCTGACGGGGCCGTAGTGGGGCCGTAGCGAGGCCTAAGCGGGCCCGTAGCGGGGCCGACGAGGCCTAAGTGAGGCTGTAGAGGGCGGCTCGAGGGGCAGTAAGGGCGGCCAATAGGGGCCACTAAGGCGGCTCGAGGTGCTACTCGGGGTAGGAGCTAAGCGCGCCCCAGGCAGGGAAGGAAAAAAAAAAGTTCGTGGTGGGCCCTAGGCATTATTCCAACTCGGGAACCTGCTCGATACCATGACGAGAAGTGAGAATGGAATAGATGAACTATGAAACAGTTGGGTACAAGTACTAACCCTAATTGGGTTGTACCCCTTATGGGCTACCCCACTATAGCCTACACAATATGTATAAGCTACAATGTTATGACAGGTGCAACATGTCCTTCGGCGGTTCAGGTTTCAGTTCTCCACCACACAGCCCACTCCTCTTGCCGTTGACCACCGTCTCACCAGCCCCTTTCCCGACGAGCCCTTTGAGTCCAGTGGTCCTTACGCAGAGCTTGTGGGCTGCCTCATGTACCTGATGACTCATACGCGTCCGGACCTCGCCTTTCCTCTCAGCGTTCTCTCTCGCTTTGTTGCGACTGGGAGACACTGTCCTGTTCACTGGACGGCTGCTGTGAGGGTGGCGAAGTACCTAGCGACTACATCAGGCATGGGGCTTGTGCATGGTGGGAGAGAGCCAATTGTGCTGACCGGTCACTGCGACTCTTCGTACGCTGACGACGTGGAGACTCAGCGCTCGACCCAGGGTTACTGCTTCAGCTTGGGAGCTGGAGCTGTGTCGTCGAGGTCTACACGGTCGTCGTCCGTGGCTACGTCCAGTGCCGAGGCAGAGATTTATGCCGGTGCTATGGCTACACAAGAGCTTCGCTGGTTGACCTTGTTGCTTACTGACCTTGGTGAGCAGCCTCGTTCTGCTCCGACCTTGCTTGCTGACAACAAGGCCATGATTCTCTAGTGTCGCGAGCCTCAACTGGAGAGTAGGGTGAAGCACATTGATGTGAGGTACTTCCTCCTGCGAGAGCTGAAGCGTCGTGGCCAGGCGCGCCTGGACTTCGTGCCCTCAGAGGGCAATACTGCGGACATTTTCACCAAGGCCTTGGCGCCTGGTGACCACCACAGGGTCTGTGTGCAGTTAGGACTTGTTGACACTGGTGCTCGCTTGTACTAGCTTTGCTCTGCTTGTCTTTGCAACTATATATATTTGTTGTTGGGAACAAATAAGTTAAGCGCCTCTGTCGTGTCAGTACTCAAGACACAAAACGAAGCAGCTCAAGTCGAAGCAGCGCGAGTCAACCAAAGAGGTTAACGTAACCGTCGGAGGTTACGGGAAAGTCAAAGGGCAGCGACCTTTTGACCTGACGCAGCGCGACAGCAAGGACAAACAACTGACTCGACATTGAGCAGTTGCCCGAGTCGCACTGTATCAAACCGCAACAGTAAAATTAGTTATAATGTCTCCTCATATTCTCTGTACTCATCTATTTATATTCTTGTATCTCTTTGCTTTTATTAACTTACTTTGCCCTCACATACTAGCGCAAGGTGGTTCAAGAGCTTTATTCAACGCTTCCGCTATTACAACATCTACTCAGACTTTTGACTCTACAAAGATCCTAGGGCGTTTCAGCCCAACATGGTATGAGAGCAGTTAGAGTTAAAATTCATTATTCAACACTCAGTACATCAAAGAAGACATGTCTGCTAGAAAGGAGAGGAGCTCCTCCAACGGCTCTCCCGGTACTACCCCTACTCCACCACCTGCCTCTGGCCTACTGACAGAGGAGGGGACAACGACGAGACCAGCAGCTGGGTCTACCAAAACACCCGCAAACCAAGGCGCGGGCTTCGATCCAAGCATGATGGAAAAATAAATTCTCCTTCATGTCCTTTTACGAGCAGCACCAGCAAGGAGCACCTGCGCAATCAAACAACAGCAACAACAACAACAACAACGTGACGCCTATGAGTCTCGATGGCTCATCCTACGCGCGTGGGAATCAACATCAACAACCCACCTTTGCTCCGTACGAGCCCCAGCGTGGCTCCGTCAGCTTTATGCCGCAACCACAACCTGCACCAGGACAAGAGAGAGCACTGGACGCATTACAAGTTCAATCGCAATTCGCGCACGTTTTAAAGCTGCAAACGACAAAGCCCTTTGACGGAAAAGACTTCTTCACCTGGTCTTTCGAATTCGAGCTGATGATGGAAGGAGCGCAAATCCTTGGCTTCTTCGACGGGTCCCTGCCATATCCAACAAACGGCACACAGTATGAGAAGCAGCAGTATACTTATCAATCAATGATGGCGTACACTATACTACTGAGGAACATTACCCTGACCCAACGGCAGAACATCAGGCCTTACCGAGGCTACGGCAACTCCGCGGAGCTCGCGTACAACCACCTGAAGAACCTGTATCAAGCAACAGACAGTGTAAACCAAAGCCGGTTAATGGCGCAGCTGACAACAATCGAAATGAAGCCAGGCGAGAAAGGCATGGAGTATATCAGTCGCTGCCGCGAGCTGCGCGACAGGCTCCTTCGATGTGGAGGTTCAATTTCAGAAGACGCCTTCGTCACGGTCGTCATCGGCGGTCTCGGCCCTCACTGGCGCTCTACTCGCGCCATATTACGAGCACACGGAAGAATCTCCGAAGCGGCACTCTGCGCCGAAATCCACGCCGAGCAGCAGGATATGGACCTGCAAGAAGAACGACATAAGAAAAAGGCATCAGTACAAGAATTTGCCTTTCACACCCAGCGACGCTACAACAATAGCAACACTCGACAGCAACAACAACCGAATCCAGTACCTCCTTTTTGCCATATCTGCAAGACTTCAGGACATCCTCGCACTCACTGCCCGTATCGTCATCAATCGACAGCACCACAGCGACAACTCCGACCTTCGAGCGGCCAAGTCACCTCGACGCAAGCAGCCCCAACAACTTCAGTCCAAGCTTCAACGACTCCAACAGGACAACCTGCTTAAAAACCAAGGAATATCGTCAACTGCAGGGTAAAGATAACCGACTCCTGCACAACCCAGTCACCACCGTACTACTCACCCGAAGAACAACTTGACAACAGCACGCCTCGCCGCGAGTCTCTTCAACCGAATCCGACGTACGCTGCCATTGCTCAAAGTGAACCATCCGGGAAAGACACTTGGTTCTTGGACAGTTGCTGCGGACAGCACATGTGCTCTTCGGGACGCTTCGTCCAACGCGAACATCGACTTCAACGAGAGGTCGTCATCACAGTTGCCAACAATCAGAACATGCGCACACGACGACAAGGAGTGGTACAGCTTCAGTCCAGGGAGACTAATGTTATACTACACATGTCAAAGGTACTAATAGCAGAAGGACTCGGCTACAACTTACTGAGCGTCAGCCAGTTGATGGCGAAGGGCATCCACCTGGAAGCCAACAGCACCACCCAGGAATTTAAATTATATCACGGGAAAGGCGGCCTTTACATCGGGAAGGCAGTTCTGAAGAACAACGTTTTCGTCCTGGATTTTGTCCCGGACCTGGGCACCGCAGACAGCGACGCTATTGTTAACTTCACGGACTGGACGCACCCTCCAGATCTTGATCCAGACTTCAGCCCGGAAGGCTTCTGGTACTCCCATACTATCCCTGAAGCAAAACGAACACGCGCATTAGCAACAATACAACACTTGACAGCAGCAGAGACAACATCGGCAGCAGCAGAACCAACAACGGCAGCAGCAGAGACAGCATCGACAGCAGCGGAGACATCGTCGGCAGCAGCAGAGACATCATCGGCAGCAGCAGAACCAACAACGGCAGCAGCAGAGACATCATCGGCAGCAGCAGAAACAACAACGACAGCAGCAGAGACATCATCGGCAGCAGCAGAGACAACATCGGCAGCAGCAGCAGGAACAACGACACCAGCTCTCGTCGACGAAGAACCACCAACACCCGCACAGCAGTTAAAACCAACTCCACGAGAAGCCCACAAAAGCGCAAACTTCGTCGCCAGCTTCTACTCCAACTCCGACACGTATCAACGATCACCCGGACATCGCGCCTCCGAAGAAACCTGGCACGCACGATTGGGACATCCAAGCAACACAGTCTTAAACAACACGATAAGAGCAGGAGTTCTCGACAAAGACTCCCTACTACTACCCGACGGCAGAGAACTTCAAAAGGCACGAGGGACTTGTCTTACCTGCCCTGAAGCTGACTTACCACATCGACCGTTCGCTCCTCATCACAACCCGAGCGCACCGGCGTACGCACCACTCGAGAAGGTGTACAGCGACATCCTCTACAATCGCGAGCTAGGACAA